GAAATATTATCATTATAAAAGTATAAAAAAAAGATCATCATGTTTAACCATACATAAATCCGTGTTTTTACAGTAAAATACCACTACTGTTCATACAACTATGGCCAGCGGACTGTGACCTGTGATCTAAGTACATACACATCTATCATACAGTATAACATGCAACACAAAATGTCCTTACTGTGGCTCTCTTCCATGAAAACACCTTTATTAACGCCTACATAAAGACTGAGCATAGCACAAGGCACACACATATTCCCACAGCTGATCAGGGGCTAAAAATTGATGGCATAAACATCATACTGGGCTGGGGTTCAAAGTGGAAAACAATCAAAAAAATCTTGAGACATGGACTTTACACAATTCTCTTATGTTTGATGCCTACGATGAATTAGTTTCTGAACATTCTATAAATCAACCTGAGGCAGGCCTGAGTGGCAACTAGCCCTTTCCTCAATACCAGACAATTTCTGGCAAACCACAGCGTGAGGGCATTAGGCGAAACACACCTTTGATTATACCCACTGTGTGTGCCTTAACCCCTTAAGGACCAGACGTCTGGGATACAAGGGAATCATGACATGTCACACATGTCATGTGTCCTTAAGGGGTTAAAGGGGTCCATATGAAACCCAGCATTGAGACAAGGGGTACCTGTCTTCTTATTCGTAGAGTTCCCTTTTCGACCTGCTGTCGATATAAATAAATGATGGAGAAGGGCAAAATGATCACTTGGCACTGCAGGCATTCTTCTTGTGGAAAAAAACAAATCTGCTACCATACGCACCATGTTTATTATAGCAGCCTTTTCTCTTCATGTGTGCTGTTGCTGTAGTAACATTAATCAGTCATCACTTTCACAGTTCTACAGATGAAGGGATTACACAGAAGATGTAAGGGACCCCTCATGCTGTATTGACTTGTTTCTATGACAACCAGCAGCCCAACAGTGAAAATAAATTAAGCATATTAATGTCAATCACATGGCCATGTGATTTCCCAAGAAGCAAGGAATTATGTAAAGCATTCTATATATGTGGTGTTTGTCAATCAGTGTTTTATTGTCACCTCAGCAATGTACACACAGCTGCAATAAGATGTCATGTCAGTTCCTTAATGTATAATAAACTCAAATATAGAACTGCATCAAAAGAGATTTACTTTAAAAAAAAAAATGTAAAAGGATCAAATAGAAGAATATAAAATCCAGCACACTCGCTTATTCACTAAACAATGAATTCAAATCTTAGAGATTGTAATAGTTTTATTTAAAAACACCTCACCTAGTCAAAAAATAATGGGGGTTTAGTTACATTATATGATTATATATTGCATAAACCTGCCACAACATCAATGTACCCCATTCTTGGCAGGTCCTACTCTAGCAGCCTAATGCTTGCTCTTATGAGATTAATCCACTTACTTGGGAAATACTTCCTTACTGGGACTCTCTGCAAGCCAAGGCTAAATAGGGTCCTGGAATGAGGCATGGACTCCCAAATATATATATTTATACCAAATATATAATGCATGCATGTTCAGGTGAATTTTTTATACTTTTGGGAGTCCAGGCCAACTCCTTGGTTTTGCACCCCTCCCTGTCACAGGTGCCTCATTCCTGGACCGTGGCACTGCAGGAGGAGCTGCAGGCTAGAGCTCACTCACCACCAGATGACCAGAGCTTGCAATCTAACATTTAATACTATTATTTTTTTATTTTTGTCAATTCATTTTTATTGTTTTCTTATCAATACTCGGTAGAAAACAGAAAAAAAGTCATGTGCAAATATGTATATCGTTATATTAGTTATCAGAAGCCAGAGTAACATGCATGATACATGAAAAACAAAGCATTATAATTATATCCATGATGGTTTAACTGTGACGGAAGATCAGTAGACATGTGCAATTCGTTTCGGTCCGAATATGAATTCGGAGGAATTTCGGGAAATTTGCACATTCGGGTAGTTCCGATGAAGTGCCAAATTGCCGAGGTCCCGAAGTTCCTAAATTACCAAATTTCCAAAGTGTCGAAGTTCCGAAGCACAGTATTGCCTAAGTACTAATATACTTACCCAGTGGAAAAACGAAAAATGTTACATTGTATACAATTTTAAATAAAAAATATTCAAACATAGCCAGGATTCAGCTGTAAGCATTTGCAGCACTTACAACAATCAAGTAACATACATTTATATAAAATGTGAGTTACTTGGCCAGTCATGTAATGACAGGAAATTTACTAATACTAAGTAAAAATTACTTAGTATTAGTAAATTATGCCCCTACTCGCTATACCGCGAGTAGGGGCATGTCTATTAAACAGTGAGCAGCCTGTGGCTGCTTACTGTTAAAAAAAAAAAAAAAAGGTCCCCCCTCCTGAGCCCTCACCCGCAACGCGCAATTTAGGGCCCCACCCCCCTGAGAGGCGGGTGGGGGCCCTAATGTCAAATAATGGCGGGGACCTATTGTCCTCCCCCCGGACCCCCACCCCTGAGCAGCGGGTGGGGGGCCTAAATTATAATAAGGGGGGGCCTACTGCCCCCCCTGGCCCCCACCCCTGAGCGGCGGGTGGGGGCCCTAAATTGGAATAAGGGGGGGCCCAAATGTCCTCAGAGGTGGGGGCAAGGGGGGAAAGACATTAGGTCCCCCCCTATTAGTATTTAGGGCCCCCACCTGCCGCTCAGGGGTGGGGGCCAGGGGGGAGGATATTAGGTTCCTCCCTTATTATAATTTAGGGCCCCCACCAACCACTCAGTGGTGAGGGCCAGGGAGGAGGACTTTAGGTCCCCCCCTTATTCTGATTTAGGGCCCCCACCCACCGATCAGGGGTGGAGGCCCGGGGGAAGGATAATAGGTCCCCCCCATTATTTTACATTAGGCCCCCACCCCACTCGCTTTGTTGCACTATGATGCTTATTTCTGTTTAGATTTAATAGAGTACTTCTGGAATAGTTAAAGTCAGAGCGAAGTGTGATATTTGTATAGATTATTTTGCACAAATAATGCTGCACTTCACATCAAGATTGACTTTTCTAGTAATTGTGTGTTTTTGAGAAGTTACACAGGAGTGTGGTAGCAGCTGACTATCATATTTATTCTGCACGTTTACATATAATTTTTTTTGTTTTTTTGATTGCACAGAATATTGTCACATACTTTGCATTATTTGTTGATATCAAGAACCGAGGCATAATTATTTTGGATATTTTATATAGCATTTTTCATTAGTAAAATCAGCCAAGTAGTTATTTTATTTAAAACACAACTATTTCAGTGTTGCGTAACTACGTTCTAATGGTTCGGGTAATCTGTTGTTTGCCTTTGGGAATGAATGCATTGTGTGTGGATTGAGGTTGAATTAATTGCTCGCAATAATGCTTTTCAAACATTTTATGAGAAAAGCTAAGCTAAATCTATAGCTTATTTTCCCCAGCTAATCTTATGTAACTAGAGAGCAATGCTCACATTTTATATTTTCTTCTAAGCACCTGGCAATTACAGTCTTATCATGGGAGAAAAATCTCTATGCATATCTTTCTAATCTCACCCACAAGGACAGTCACGATCTGTAAAGCTTTGTAAATTTCTTTGTGTGAAACTCTGAAACCATAGATGATTAAACCGTCTGTAAAAGTGAGGCATGGCATAGATTAGAGGGATTCCCTGCTCTGGTGCATTCGTCTATGTTCGAGAAAATTTCCCAGAACATAGACAAGCGCACCAGAGCAGGGAATCCCTTCACTCCTCACTTAATGACCAATTTGTTATACGACCAGGTCCTAGGAACGGAACCCGGTCGATAAGTGAGGAGTGTCTGTACTAACTATTACGGCATAAAGTGAAAAACCAGATGGAGTCAAAGCGCTTAAGAATATCTGCAGTGATGCTGCACTACCCCCAAGTGACACACAGTGACACAAATTAGCAATAGATACCAGAAAGTTGGAGTGCGCTAGCAACTGCACTGGAGTCAGGATCTTCTCTGAGTACTCTGAAAAAATATACAGTATATAGTGCAGACTATCTGTATATACAGGGTATGCAAAATTAAAAGTATATCTGGGGATCAACTCACATGGACCAGAGCCCTATCACCCCTGTCTCTGGGTATGAATTGCTCCAATGGAGAGGGATAAACCCACAGTATAGCAAAACAGGATACTC